TTACTTGAAGGTCAAAAATGATGGCCAGTCCAGAATACATTTTTCCAAGACCTGATTTAAAACAAGAAAGTTGCTGAAATGAGTTGAAAGTCAATAATCCTGATTCTAAAAGAGTATCTTTTCCTTTAAAATGATATCTTCAGGTAGTTTATTCATCTGTGAAAATCTGGCCCATATCAGCTCAGTTCAGTTCAGTTACTCAGTCCTGTCCAATTCTTTGCGACCCCATGGACTGCAGCACGCCAGGCCACCCTGTCCATCACCAACTCCCAGAGTTTACTCAAACTCATGTCCATTGACTTGGTGATGACATCCAACCATCTCATCCTCTGTTGTCCCCTTCACCTCCTGCCTTCAATCTTTCCCAGCATCAGGGTCTTTTCAAATGAGTCAGTTTTTCGCATGAGGTCACCAAAGTATTAGAGATTCAGCTTCAACATCAGTTCTTCCAATGAATATTCAAGACTGATCTCCTTTAGGACGGACTGGCTGGGTCTCCTTGCAGTCAGTCCAAGGGACTCTCAAGAGTCTTTTCCAACACCACAGATGAAAGGCATCAATTCTTTGGCACTCAGCTTTCTTTATAGTCCAACTCTCACATCCATACATGACCACTGGAGAAACCATAGCCTTGACTAGATGGACCTTTGTTGGCAAAATAATGTCTCTGCTTTTTAATATGCTGCCTAGGTTAGTCCTAACTTTTCTTCCAAGGAGCAAGCGTGTTTTAATTTAATGGCTGCAATCACCATATGCAGTGATTTTGGAACCCCCCAAAATAAAGTCTGTCACTGTTTTCACTGTTTACCCATCTATTTCCCATGAAGTGATAGGACCAGATGCCATGATCTTAGTTTTCTCAATGTTGAGTTTTAAGCCAACTTTTTCACTCTCCTCTTTCACTTTCATCAAGAGGCTCTTTAGTTCTTCTTCACTTTCTGCCATAAGGGTGGTATCATCTGCTTATCTGAGCTTATTGATATTTTTCCCAGCAATCTTGATTCCAGCTTGTGTTTCATCGAGCCCAGCGTTTCACATGATGTACTCTGCATGTAAGTTAAATAAGCAGGGTGATAGTATACAGCCTTGACATACTCCTTTTCCTATTTGGAACCAATCTGATGTTCCATGTCCAGTTCTATCTGTTGCTTCTTGACCTGCGTACAAATTTCTCAGGAGGTAGGTCAGGTGGTCTTGTATTCCCATCTCTTTCAGAATTTTCCATGGTTTGTGGTGATCCACAAAGTCAAAGGCTTTAGCATAGTCAATAAAGCAGAAATAGATGCTTTTCTGGAACTCTATTGCTTTTTCGATAATCCAGTGGATATTGGCAATTTGATCTCTGGTTCCTCTGCCTTTTCTAAAACCAGCTTGAATATCTGGAAGTTCATGGTTCATGTACTGTTGAAGCCTGGCTTGGAGAATTTTGAGCATTACTTTACTAGCATATGAGATGAGTGCAATTGTGTGGTAGTTTGAGCATTCTTTAGCATTTCCTTTTTTTGGAATTGGTATGAAAACTGACCTTTTCCAGTCCTGAACCACTGCTGATTTTTCCAAATTTGCTGGCATATTGAGTGCAGCACTTTCACAGCATCATCTTTCAGGATTTGAAATGGGTCAACTGGAATTCCATCACGTCCACTAGCTTTGTTTGTAGTGATGCTTCCTAAGACCCACTTGACTTTGCACTCCATGATGTCTGGCTCTAGGTGAGTGATCATACCATCGTGATCATCTAGGTTGTGAAGATCTTTTTTGTACAGTTCTTCTGTGTATTCTTGTCACCTCTTCTTTTGCTTCTGTTAGGTCCATACCATTTCTGTCCTTTATTGTGCCCATCTTTGCATGAAATATTCCCTTGGGTATCTCTAATTTTCTTGAAGAGATCTCTAGTCTTTCCCATTTTATCATTTTCCTCTATTTCTTTGCACTTATCACTGAGGAAGGCTTTCTTATCCCTACTTGCTATTATTTGGAACTCTGCATTCAAATGGGTATATCTTTCCTTTTCTCCTTTGCTTTTTGCTTCTCTTCTTTTCACAGCTATTTTTAAGGCCTCCTCAGAAAGCCATTTTTCTTTTTTTGCATTTCTTTTTCTTGGGGATGATCTTGATTCCTGTCTCCTGTACAATATCATGAACCTCTATCCATAGTTCTTCAGGCAATCTATCCAATGTAATCCCTTGAATCTATTTCTCACTTCTACTGTATAATCGTAAGGGATTTAATTTAGGTCATACCTGAATGGTCTAGTGGTTTTCCCTCCTTTCTTCAATTTAAGTCTGAATTTGGCAATAAGGAGTTCATGATCTGTGCCACAGTCAGCTCCTCATTTTGTTTTTGCTGACTATATAGAGCTTCTCCATCTTTGGCTGCAAAGAATATAATCAGTCTGATTTTGGTATTGACCATCTGGTGATGTCCATGTGTAGAGTCTTCTCTTGTGTTGGAAGAGGGTGTTTGCTATGACCAGTGCGTTCTCTTGGCAAAACTCTATTGGACTTTGCCCTGCTTTGTTCTGTACTCCGAGGCCAAATTTGCTTGTTATTCCAGGTATTCCTTGATTTCCTACTTTTGCATTCCAGTCCCCTGTAATGAAAAGGGCATCTTTTTTGGGTGTTAGTTCTAGAAGGTCTTGTAGGTCTTCATAGAATCATTCAACTAAAGCTTCCTCAGCATTACTGGTTGGGGAATAAACTTGGATTATCGTGATATTGAGTGGTTTGCCTTGAAAACTAATGGAGATCATTCTGTCATTTTTGAGATTGCATCCAAGTTACTGCATTTTGGACTCTTGTTGACTACTATGGCTACTCATTTCTTCTAAGGGATTCTTGCCCACAGTAGTAGATATAAATGGTCATCTGAGTTAAATTTACCCATTCCAGTCCATTTTAGTTCGCTGATTCCTAGAATGTCAACATTCACTCTTGCCATCTCCTGTTTGACCACTTCCAATTTGCCTTGATTTATGGACCTAACATTCCAGGTTCCTATGCAATATTGCCCTTTACAGCATTGGACTTTGCTTCTATTACCAGTCACATCCACAACTGTGTATTGTTTTTGCTTTGGCTCCATCTCTTCATTCTTTCTGGAGTTATTTCTTCACTGATCTCCAGTACCATATTGGGCACCTACCAACTGGGGAATTCCTCTTTCAGTATCCTATCATTTTGCCTTTTCATACAGTTCATGGGGTTCTCAAGGCATGAATACATATATTGCCCCCTTTTATGAGATTAGTCCTCTACAATCTGTTTTGAGTATGTTTAAAAAGAACCTTTTACAAGATACTGAAAAATTTTGCTATTGCATGTTGTATCAACTTTCTGAAAATGAAAATAAATGACTGCTTCTTCTAGTAGGCTTCTAACTGGTCATAGATATTACCTTAGTTTTCATGGTTATTGTAATAAGTTTTGTTACAGTGGAGAGGCATTGGGATTTAATCTCACTACACATTAAATACAAATGAAAGAATTTTTTATGTTTTATTTGGTTGTTGAATACAAAAAACATGAAATCTGTGAGATGTGTAAGTCTTGGAGAGAACCAAATTTAGAATATAGAGCTCATTTGAAAAGAAAACAAAACAAAAAAAACCCCTGCATTCATTGCTAATTATCATTCCAGGAACAAAACTGTGCAGATTTGGAGGGGGGGGGGTGACTTTTTAGCCATCCACCACATTATAAATTGTTGGATGTAACTCTTTATGATGGGTATAGACACTGACATATGAGATGATTACTGAGAGAGCAAAGTTTAAATTAGTGTTGCTTTGAGGAAATGATCATTGTGGTTCAACTGCAAATATATGATTTTCTCTGCTATATGTGAAGAATATGTGTGACTTTCTTACTTAATAGATAACTCATACTTATTTTGTAGACTCAGAAAAAAATTTTGTGAGTACCAAATGCTGGTCGACATTGCTCCCTTTCTGATTTCACTTCAGACCGTGGTATATTTTCTTTATTGTTCTGCCTCCAAAAGTCTGAGAAAAGTAAAAATTAGACCAGTGCTGTTCACCATAAAGCAAATAACAGATTAATGAGAACTAAAAAATTATTTTCTCATTTTCAGTCTCCTAAAATTAACTTAAATGTTTGGATACTGGAATTTTTAGACTATATTTTCAAGTTTTCTATATTTCAAAAATTGTTTCTTATTCTTTAGGACATAGCATTCTTAGAAGGTCTTAGTGAAAGTTGGCAGGGAAAGGAAATTATGGACAAATGAGTTCATTTTGTTTCTGTTCATTTTAATAAAATTACAGTTTGGTCATGGAAAAAAACTGAAATTTAGGGATGAAAACTCTTTGTATTTTCTTTTTATGTCAGTTATGTGATAGCTCTAGTTACAACCAGTACAGAAACTTGGGAAATGACTGATTAATAGAAATTTTGATAATTATGTATATGCCCCATGTAAAATAGTTTATTGCAATTGTGATCTCTAAGTTCATTATATACTCCTCAGTGTATAGAAATTTTGCTGAGAATTTAATGCAGTGTCAGTTTTTCTGATTATTGAATATATCTACCCAACTTGTGTTTCTTAACATAAGGTCTGAGTGCTCCCAACTGCATTTTAATAATTTCTAAGTTCTGAAGTTATCACTTTTAATACTTAGAAGACCTTATGTTAATTCTCTATTTCTCACAAATAAAACCAACAAAATTAAGTTGCATAAATAGCTTCCTCTTTTTTTTTTTTTTTTGGTAGAATTTTGGCATTATCATCTATCTCTTTTTGATAGCTTGAGAATTAGTTATACCTCTCCCCAAAACTTAAAAAAAAAATCAATATTAGCTCTTATATACAGGACTTCATGAGTTTTTTAATGTTCTCCCTTGTTAGAGGTGCATGTTACAGCTTGCCATTGTGGTCATTGTGGTTCATTTCATTAAGCTTCTTGTTCTATCTGCTTTCTTGAGACTTGGGAAACAGCATTTTTCTGAGTGATTGTACTATATTGTTCCAAATATAAGGCCACCCAGAATAGAAGGCAACCTCCAACTAGAAACAGCTCAAATATGGAGAAAGGCTGGGGGCCCAGAGCCCGGCGGGTCTTGCAGTGGTGGCAAGGGTGCCGAGGAATAGGACGATGCCTGCCCACTCTCCCGGTGAGTGAAGATGAGTCAGCTGCTGATTTGCTTGTGCATAACCAGATGGATTCTGTTGCTAGAGGAAAAGATATACTGGGGGGAGAGAACAAGTCTGCACACATGAAGTAAAGTCACTGTGTGTCCAGATCCAGGGAGGGAAGGTGGGAATAGAGTCTTTTATCTTCTAAACAGTCACCTTCAGTGCTTTTCCCCCTGAACCTGGGGGTGAAAGTTGAATAACCCCAAACACTGAAGAAGGAGAAAGGTACCTGCACCTTTTTTTTTTTGAAAAGGGGTTTAAAGTCAGTGACCATGAAAACGAACTGTTAGACACCAACAGAAGTGTCAAGACCAGCTCAGAAAATTATTCCTTGCCCTTTCAAACTTACCGCTGACCCAAGAGGTGGTATGTACACTGTGTGTGGTCATGTGTAGCTTGAAAACAAGCAACCCCAAAGCTGGGACTTGCATTTCCAATTTCAGTAAGATTTTTTTCTTTTTAAATTCCCTGTCTCCTGAGTCAGCCAAGATACAATTTAAATAAGCAGGCTAAATCTTATTGAAATAAACTCCAAGGGACTGTTTTAAAATATTTTTTGTGCTAGTATTTTACCCAGTAGCATATTTTAAAAAGTACTTCAATGAAAATATATTATTCAACTGAGAATGTGTATTGATGGAGCCCAGAGCCTAGAGAAAGCCCAGATAAAACTCTACCAATAAGCAGTAGAAATCTAAAATTTCATTTTATAGTAACTAAATGAGATGTGACAGAAAGAATGAGGTGCTTGTTTCTGTTATAATCAAGAAAACTATTTAGCATCTATTAGTATACAACTTAACCCGCATTCAGTAATGTTTGCAGCTTCACAAAAACTACATGAAATATGGACCTTTAGTGATGATTAAGTCCATGACTTGCTAAGCAAATTTGAAGTAGAGCTTGAATCCCTGAATAAGTTGCCTACCACTGCCTCTTCCCCTTCCCCCCGCCTATGTAGCTTCCATTGTAGCTTTTATGATGATGGTGGTGAAACTTCTTTAATAAAAGGGTATGTCTTTCTGAATAGGCAGGACTGTCCTTAAGTCTAAACAATGCTAAATTGCCCAAAGGATGTGGTTTAGGGAAGCTACTTATCATTGATTTCAGAAATTCTCTTAAACCAAATTACCCTGAAAGATAGAGGTCCTGTGCCCAAGGGCAAAGAAGCTAGAATTGGATATGCTACCACATTTTGCCAGGTCTGGGATTTGAAACAGACTGGGCGGAAAAGGAAGAATTTGAAGGGAATTTGTTCCAGAGGGGGAAGGATCTTTCCTGACAAGTTAGATTACCATTCAGAGCAAACAGCACTGCAGTGGTAGAGCCCAAATGAGATGTGGATGTGAACTCTGTATAATCTCAGAAACCTTTTCCAAAGAGTTCCAGGGTGGTACTGGTAAGGAAAGAGAATAGTAGAGAACCAGAACTTTTCAGGGAAGAACTTCCTTTAGAACTCATTTGTTTTGGAAATATTTGATTTCTACAAAGGAAGAGAATGTCCAAATTTGTGGTTGGATGGAGGGCATGTGCCTGTTATTGATCATCTTTAAACTTCATATAGTTTACTTTCTATTATTTGTTTTAGGTACTCTATGTCTGATTTGATTCAAATTACAACAAAACAAACCTTATTTTTTTTCCCAGAGGGGGTTGGGGCTGTTATAATTGTATGTCCTGTGTCATCACCTGCTATTAATTTCATCATTAATTGCAGTGGCAGACAGAAGCTGGAAGGTCACCTAAATGTCATAATCCATGGCTTCCTCTCCCTGTTGGCTAGTAAGGGTGGGGGCAGGACCTGACCTGGTTGCATAGGAAAGACATGGCCTCAGTTGGCTTATGAGATGGCAAGGACAGCCTTCAGGGACATGTAGATAGAAAGGACAGTGACGAGGGAAGGGAGAAGATATTCCCAATTCATTATAAATAATAATCTCTGTAAAAATCAATAGCAAGAGTTAATTTCTCTGCAGTTAGCATGGTTTGTGTAAAACCCATACCCATAACTATTGCTGTGCTCAGCTCCTCCCACCCATCCCTAAAATGCACAACATAGAAGCACTCCTGAAGATGCTAGAAAATTAATCTCCCAGATCACTGTTGTTTCTTCCTACCAGGAATCCACATATAATGCACCTTCCATGGCTCCTTCTCAGGGGATTAGATTCATAGGATCAAGTTAAAGGGAACAGTTATTAATCTAGTAGGTATGAAAAAATCTGCAGATTTGTTGATGGATAGAAATTAAAATCTCTCAGACCCTAAAAACAGGAAAATTCCCATTAGACTGTTTTTGCTAGGAGGGTAGGTCACTGCTATTCTTTTTCTTTCCTGATTCATTAGTATATTTCCCAAGGAACCCTGGAAAAAGTGACATTTTTACTTTTTCCCACTTCCTATATGGGCGACTGTGACTTTGCAGATCAAATTAATGATGCCAAGGTTCTGACTTCTCAGCAATTCAGTTGAAAAGTCACTAAACTACAAACATGTAATTTGCAATCTGTTTTTTCATTTTTTAAAAATTCATAAAATAAGAGAATTCTTGAAAAAAATGTTGCATATGGTTAAATCTCTTTGGGAAATGTTCCGCCATAGGTAAGGGACACCATTTCTCCAATGTGATGTATCTGCATTTTCTGAGACATATGGAATATGGCATTTGTCATGCTGAGTGAGCATGTTTAACTCAAATGTGGAGTAACTCACAAATTCCCTGCTCTTGAGTATCTTTAAGTTTCAAAAATCATTCTTAAAATGTTCTTAATGGGCATTCCTTAGGGGGCATTGCTCTCTTCAGTAAATCAGAACTGACATCTGGAAATGCATAGAGATGGCTCTTGGTTACGTGTTTTTTTTTTTTTTTTTGCTGGTCAAGCAGCAAGTGTATTCCAATTAACAAGTTGATAGCATCTTATGACAGGCTAGAAAAAAAAGGCTAATTCTAATTTGGCATATTGAATATTGAATGACATCTCTTCAGTTATAAACGACTTTTGTTTTAATAACAAAGTTGTTGATTTTCTACTAAGGGTTCTTTTAGGTTGTCATCAGGGGCTGATGGGAGTAACAGTTCACCCAACTCTCCAGCTAGCTTCAGTGGACATACCACACCTTCTCAGCAGCCTGAACCTGTGGTACACTCTCTTAAGGTAACCAACTGTGTACAACCATTTCCTCAGTACTTCAGTTGTGTTGTGGCTTGTTCACTATAGTCTGGTAATCCTCACGGTCTCGTTTTAACCATAGATACTTTATTTTTTGACCCCTATGGTATAATTTTGTTTTTAATCTTAAGTTTTGAAGAATGATTTTAATTTTATAAACTAATAGTGGGTTTGAGTACTTATGGTTGAATTGAATCTCTAATTTTATCATTTTGTTTTGAGTAATGTGATTCATATCTACCTGCATTGAAGTTGAAGTCTGATGTGCATGTATGTGTAAAATATTGTTACAGGTATTTTCTGTGCAATGTTTGTAGCATGGACGTCTTCAAATATAGGAACTTAATAGCCAAAATAAGGAAGGATACCATATTTTTCTTTTTGCAACTGAAGTACGTTGTGCAACTTACTAAAAAAAGTTTTCAAATAAACAAAAACCTACTCTGGTCACCACTAAATAGAAATTAAGTCTTCAAACTCTAGTTAATGCCTCTTTATAGACTATTAGGAAATAGACATCTGGTCTTACTCATAAAGATATTTTATTTTTGGCTTATAATTAAGATTCTGCAATAACGAAAGATGTGGCTTAAATTTATCATTTATTTTTCTTTACCAGCAATGAGCTTTCTAATAAGTAAAATTAATAATATGCAATATAGATATTTACCTCTCTAAGAAGAAACTGCAGGCAATAAAAATAGTATTAAAAACTGAGACAATTCCTTGAAATTTCATCAGCTCCAAAGTATAAAACACTGTCCTCCAAATTATCTCTAATTCCTCACATGTTGCACAGAGTCAGACATGACTGAAGCATGCATGCATGCATTGGAGAAGGAAATGGCAACCCACTCCAATATTCTTGCCTGGAGAATCCTAGGGACAGAGGAGCCTGGTGGGCTGCTGTCTATGGGGTCGCACAGACCTGTCCTGCTTTTGCCACATGGACTTCGCAACTTTTCTAAATTTGTTTTGGTTTCAGAATGATTTATCCACAGGCTGATGAGGCACTCCTATGCCACACTTTCCTTGGCATGCAGAAAAGCAAAGAAGTAGATGAGAACTTCAAAATATTTACTTGACTTGAGGATGATTGTTTTATCAGTTGATTTAGCTCCCTCATTACATTTTGCTGTAACTTAGATGAAATGAGCGTGCTTCTCCCAAGCACTTACAGATTGCAGACAAGGGGAGATGGTAGAACTATGCTGGGGGCCAGTGGCAATGAACGTGGTGTTTCCTGTCTCGATTGGGAAACCTCACAAAATGAACAACTGAGAGGAATTTGTGGGAAGGCACACCAGAATGAGGGGCCCTCCCTGCCTTTTGTCTGACAGCTGCTGGTTTATCAACTGGCTTGCTCTTAGCAACAGCACTTGGATACTGTTTAGTATGAACAGCATGCTAAACAAGCTGTTACTTGAGCATAAATCAGACACTAGCATCTGAAAGCACTTTAGAAATGGAAAAATGGTCAAGCCTGTGGTATTGGTATCTACACATACTCCAGAAATGACACAATGCCCTGCTTTCCAGACTGAAACCTGTTTCAGCCCATTGCCTTATTCAATGACAAGTGCAGTTGGAATCAGATCAGTGTAGTGGGTCACACTGCCATCTCTCCCTAGATTCTCAACGCAGCTGCGGTAGTATGGCCTAAAAGGAAGGGGATGGCAAGGAAGAGCTCTTCAGTTTTCTCCAAATGCATTTTCTAATTTTCATGTAAAATTTTATCTTGAGAGGAAGATATTATGTTATAATCAGAACACATTAAGTGTCCTCACTTGGCTGATGGGTAATGCTGAGCAACTGAAGCACCTTGATTGGGTAACTGGAGGCTCTTGAATATAGAATGCATTTGTTTCCATGAGTTGAGACAGAAATATGTGCAAACATAGCCTCTGGGAAACACACCTTTGGAATATCTCAACATTAAAAAAAAAGTAGCCTCTTGACATGTTTTGTTTTTAAAAGCTACCAATCTAGAGCTGATTTATATCATAAGATTTTTCTGTTCTGAAAGTAGTAGTTGAAACAGCGGCTCAGTTTCTTATCTTCTTGTAAAGTTTTAAAAATTTCTAAACTTTAATAAACTCCATGGTCGTAGTTTGGGGGAACAAGTTGTAAATCAATGTGAGGAATTAGTCCACTTGAAATATGCCACATTTTTCTTGCTTTAAAATTCATAACTATTAATTGGAGCTTCACTTCATTTAGTAGAAATTAACTGATTTGAAGTACACTTCTCTCAGGTGCATAATAAATCGAATTTGTGGGCAAATGAGCTTGTTCCAAGGAGTGCTTTAAGTTTTCTATGAATATTCATTGAGCATCATCAATAATTTCCTCTAAGTATAAAAAGAACGTGAACTGACTCTGTAGGGTTCTGCTTCAGGCTTTTAAGTGTGAATTCTCAGGTGACACCTTTAGGTGTGGCCATCAGCACTGACCGTGGAAATAGAACCAAGGGGTTTAGCAGTGTTGCAGTTCATTGTGGATTATACAAGAGCTTTTAGGAGAAACATTTTTTTAATACTACATCAGTGATTTGATTTAGAAGCTGATGTAGAGAAAAATAACAAATAGCACTCAAGGCCAAAGTTTTGTCTTCTTTTGTACTATATAGAGTATTGACATGAAAGTTTTAAAGACATTCTGAACAGAATCTTATTCTCAATTCATTTAGGGATAATTTAGAGAGGTAGAATCTAAAATTGTTTAAAAGCATCTTATTCTCAGATGAAAAATGAAAAATACTTAGTGTTGCTCACATATTTTCATGACTGGAGAGCCATTGCTTCTCTTTGCTTTTGTCAAAGAGCTGTCTCCATAGTCCTGTCCTAGGCACCAGGAACACATCCAGGCAAGAACTCTGAGATCAGTAACGTTCATGTTAAAAGTTCTTATGGGTTCCGACAAGTTTCACCTGTCACTATTATCCTTTTTAGTCATTTTTTCTATAGGTCGTGTCTACATATCATTTGGACTGTTGAGTAATATAATTAATTACATGCCAGTCTTTACAATGGAGCAAGATTTATTGACTATCTCCAAATGGTTGACAGTCAGCTTTATATTAATGACCAAATTAACTAAATGTATCTAATTTTTTTGGACATAAATGAATTCAATTGACTATTAGTGATGCAGTAGATTGCTCTTAATGGCCATTTGAAAATCAAGTAGAATTGACTCCAGATAGCTTTCAGAACAATCAACTCTTTTAAAAGATTTTGCCATATACTAACGTACTCTGATATGCAGACATGGAAAAAAAACTAAGGTTTTTTTTTTTTTTTTCTTTTTACAAAGTGGAGCTCCTTGATGATTTTTATTCATAACTAACAAACTTTTTTTTTTTCCATGTGAAATTTGCTTTTCTTTTTCAACAAATCCAGGTCTTGGATGTTCAGGAAACTATAGATCGTCAACAGGGTAAAGAGTATGAACATGACCTTAGTGAGACAGAAAAAGCTATAGTCAGAGAAATGTGCAATGTAAGTTTAATGTGCTTTATTGTGTATTCTGTGTTGAAAGCCTCATCATAGCTTAGATTTTGCTTCATGAATACCTACTTTTTAAAATGCTGGCCAAATGCCTTTATATTTTTATGTGAAAATAAAACCAACCTTCCCTTGATTTTCTTTAATAAATGTTATTGCAGTATTTTTTTTAACACAATAATCATGTAAAATATGCAGGTGAGCAAGAATCGGCCAATTCTGTGTTCCAGAATGAACTGTGAAAGTTTCTGAACAATAAATTTCCTAAAATGTTACTAGTTTCCATTTCATAATTTTCCTTAAAGAGCAGTGTTTAAAAACCTATGATAAGCAAAGAAAATGCAGCCTTCTGCAGATTATTTGTAACAATACTTGGGGAAAAAAATCACCATCTTAATATTGGCTTGGCCATAAAGTTTGTTCTATTTTTTTCCATAGAAACTGGAACGAACTTCTTAGCCAACCCAGTAGGTAATATTTGTTAAGTTCTTCATTCATATGGTGCGTGCTTCATGTCATGCCCAGCAGTATCTCAAAATAGTAAGCGATAGATATGAACTTAAGAGATGGCCACACAGAAATCTGCCTATGAAATCACAGAAATACAGTGGGGGGCTGGGGGGTGGGGAAGACATGCTATTTTCACAATGCTTAGCCTATGTAATCATTATTGGGGTTTGGATTTGATTAACCTTAATTGTAATTTTTGAGTAATATGTTTGGATATATCATTTAATCAATTTGTGAAACTTATTTAAAAACTAAGCAGAATACGATGGGAAAGACATTTGTTAAAAGCAAAAATTCATGGTCAGTTATTTTAAGCTTTGATTTGAATTGGTATTCCATTGTGCTTTTATCGTTTGTTCATTAGGATATCAAAATTGCTTAGAAATACCCTTCAGCTTTAGGCTATTAAGACCAGGTATCTCATTTACCTACCTCCCCAAGGTATTCCTAGAATCCAGGAAATGTTAGATAAGCCCCATGGGCATGTAGCACTCTTGCCCCAGCACATACAGCCTCTTGCTTGCTTGTGTTGTCATTTTTCTTTCTTACATTTCTGCTGTCTCTTTTCAAATGGTCATTGGTTCTAGATGTCTTGATTTCCTAAATGCATCATGATTGATTTGCATGATGAAATGCATCATGTCATGATTTCCTAAGTGTAGCTTTTTGTCTGTTCTTAAGCTTTTCAATTTGAACACCTCCCTCAGATAAATTTTAAAGTTCAAACATTAGGAATTGTAAAACTGGAAGGGACCATACATAGGAGGTTATACCTTCAGTGGTTCTCAGTCATATTGAGGCTCCTTCATAATTCAGAAGTCTGGGATTTGCACCAGATCTTGGGCAATCAGGGTAGGAACTCTCATTTTGTACTTGAAGAAACTAAGATTCTGAAATTAAATTACTTGCCCCAATTTGTCCTCTAATGAATAGGGAAGTCAGGCATATACCCAGATTTTCTCTGAGGACCAGTTCTTTCCACTTTCCCAATTGTAGTGAATCTAGGCACTTCCATTTTCTTTCTCAAGAATGAAAACCACTGTATCTTACAGAGGAAACCATCTCTATTGTGCTTAATGCCAGAATTTGTCTAAATAAACACAGGACTGTTTCTTGTCTCTTTTTTTGATGAAATATTTTTAGATATTAGAAAATTTATTTCTTAGAGAAGGGACCCACTAATGAATTGGATCTTGATTAGTTTTGCATTGATCTTGATTTGCCTGTATTTCCAAAAAATCTTTCAAAAGGACACACACAGTGGTAATTGTTGCCTTCAGAAATCCAAGAGCTTTTGACTTTGGAAAGTTCTCTAGGGCATCTTTTCTGTTTTCCCCTTTGGTCACCAAAATTTGAGAAACAAAAAAGTAAGTTAGTTCAAATCTGATTGTTAGCACTGTTATATTTTGAAACTATATAAAAGCCATAAGAAAAAAAAAAGTGCTGTTTTAAAATATTTGTGTCACCATTGTAAGTTATATCCATATCAAGAACACATAGCAAATATTGGAGCATAAACAAAAATACAGTTTGTGGAACAGTTTCAAAACTTCTAAATAATAATGTACATAAGATTATGAAACCTATTAGAGGAATTATGGGCTTTTACAATAATGTTACAGAAATGTAAAGCTTTCTCATAATGTGAGATCAGTTAACACACTCAGGTTTGTATCTGTCTCTGGTATTCTTTCTGGAAATAGGTTGTTAACATCTAGATAGTCTTTCCATTTTATAGATGTTAACAACCTTTCTTCACAGCACCATCATTTTGAACAGTAAGCATGTAGTGCTTCTAGTCTCTTCCCAGCTCTACCACAAAGATATACTGTCCTCTAAGAAACAGTATATTATCTACCTTTTCATAGTAATGGTTTTATCTTAGGTTTTTCTGTTCGGCACATGTCAGTTCCCTGGGAACAGCTGAGACACTTGACTGGGCCGCCATCTCAGTGACCATCTCAGACACCCACTGTTCAGCTCTCTTACTTATTTAACAAGTCACTACTCTGTGCCTGTCTTAATGTCTTTGGCTTATTTCAAAGTTCTGTCTTGGAGTTTCCTTTCACCATGTAATTTCAGGGGTAAGGCCCATTACATTCTACATTTGAATACTTGAAGAGGGAGTTGTGTACAACACTTAAGAGTTGTCTTCATCTAATGCCTTTTGTTCCTGATTATTTGAATCTATCCTTTGCTTCTAAACAAGATGTGAAAGCATTCTGGGTAGATGTAATACCATTTAAGGGCTAGAAAGGGAAAGTCCATAGTGTTCCTTGGCTTCCTGATTGTGTCCCTCTTCAGTCAATGTATTGAGAAAGGACACTTTCCTAACTCCCTTGGGTACAGCCTAAACTGTTCACTGCTAGATATGCTCAGTTGTGTCTGACTGTTTACAACCCCATGGACTATAGCTAGCTAGGCTTCTCTGTCCATGGGATTTCCCAGGCACAAATATTGGAATGGGTAGCCATTTCTTTCTTCAGGGGAGCTTCCTGACCCAGGGATCAAACCCAGGCCTCCTGAATTACAGGTGGATTTTTACCATCTAAGCTACTAGGAAATTCCTTCCCAAATATTTAAGGACTGTAACTACAACTCCCTTTAAATATGACAGGACATCTCTACCACATAGTAGTGTCTGCTAACACACAGAGATGAATAGTTCCATAGGTTTCACAATGAAGGTAGACAGACCCCTACATGCTTATGTGTTACTATGACTTAGAAATCTGCTTCCCTGGAATATCTGCTCTTTTAAAAGAGAAAACAAAGAAGTATTGATGAACCAGCTGGTTTGTGTTCATGTTAGAGCAATGTAAATTTACATGGAAGTAATCAATCTGATCATAATCCTAATTGGGAAACACTGAGAGAGTTATGACTGTTACTATGTGGTTTCTTAATGTAGTATATTGGTATGTCATTGTTGGATTCAGTGGTTTTACTTATTAATCTCACCCTTTGCTATTGTCCCTTAAAAATAGCCTAATTTTTAACATATTGTTTTTAGTGACTCTTGAATTTATTTTTATCTTTTCTCTGCATCTGAATGCTTTCTATTGTGGTAATCTGAGATATACTATTAGGTAGCTAAGATTTATGATAACTAAGGCCCCCCATTCCACAGGGAAAACAAGACAAATCTACTAGTGACCCTAAGGCTACTAGCTCAGGACTTTAAACCACTACAGACAGTGAAGGAGTTTTTGTTCTTAGTTATTTAACATTTTGGTATTCCTCATTTTAGGTGTATAATATAGGAACCAGGATGATTTTGTAGGAACCATATATTCTTAACTACACATTAGAATCATGTTGACAGCTTTAAAAAAAATAGATGACCCTACCTGTTTAATTCCTAGTGGACGCCCAGAGTTGAGGACCAGTCTCATAACCAGTGTAAGTTGGCATATCATTCTGTAATTTTGACCCTGATTGCTAAAGAAGCATAGCACTCCTGTCTGTTGAGCAGTTCTCATGATTTAGAAACTTGCATCACATTTCATTTTATTTTTGAGCTCATTCGTGTGAATATTTTGTCTCTTGTCTTATATTCCTCTTTGTCCTCATAGATTTCCCCCCTTAAAAAAAAAAAACAAAACCATACACACCCCTGTATGGAACAGGACAATTAAGATGCTTACTCTTTTTCTTCTTTTTCTTAAGGTTGTATGGAGGAAACTTGGAGATGCTGCAGGTTCGTGTCCTGGAATTAGGCAACATTTGTCTGGAAACCAGTACAAGGGACCCATGTGAGACGCACTCTCTTTCAAACATGACATCACCACTGCAAGAGAGATAAGAGAGGAAAGAGTGGATTTCCACAAACCTGAAGTAATTGTACATTGCACATATTTTCCCTCGAAAAACTTTAGTATGGCTGAAGTTGTATTTTTTGTCTCTCACTTTGGTGTTCACTACAGTCCATCTTAAACAAGGTAGCTTTGAAAATCACCATTTTGGTACCAATATTTTCATTAGAACTAAAATGTTTTTGACTCTTCAGATCTAAAATTGTAATGGGGAAACCTGCATGATTGGAAGAGTCCAGTAGAGCCTCAGTGGTTTTGATAGAATCGAATCATTGCATATCATGGTGGGAGTGTTCTACCATGTTGTTGAAGATAACAAGTGGTTTCCAGCTTCCCAAGTTGGAGAGTTGGTAACCTATTATATTTTAGTCAATAAAATACTAGTTCCTGATGCATAATTAATTTGGATGCAAGATAAGGTTAGGTTTCTTGGATTTTGTTTTGACTTTTGAGGTACTAAAATACCACATCAGTTTTCCTTACCAGCTAGAAGGGTAGCAGGACTTTGTCGAGTGCATTATCAGAGTGCCATTTACTTAAATTAATCAAAGTAAATATATCTTTTCTTTCATCTTAATGTATTATTCATGAAGACACATCTTGGGGACATATCAACCTCCATCTTCAGTGTATTCATTAATGTTAATATTAACAATTTCAATTAAAGAACAAGCAAACAATTTTTCTAAGTGTTTCCAGCTGTGACATGTCAATTTCTACAATTTAGTTTCTAGACATGCTGTTATATTTAATAAACTTTCTGTAAACTTTAAAATATTGCACTGCATTTATGAAAAAACTTTATTAGCCTACAGCAGCTATCTTAATGTTTTATGAAACTGACGCATGTCCTTCATTATTGAAGCTAAAAGCTCTCGTTCAGATTGCTTGAGATTTGAAAAGAGGTGTGCTAGCTTTAGTTTTTCCTTATTTTTGGTATATATATATATATATATATATATATATATATATATATATAAAATAATAGACTGTGTGTATTGGAAATGCTATGATAGGTATTTTGTGTTTATTCAAATGCAATGATAGTTTCTTGTATGAATGTGCAAGAGGCCTCTGACCGAATGCTAACTTTATATTGTAATATAAAATTATAAAAGTAGGAATGCAGTGATTCCCAGTTTTCTTCTAAATTGCTCAGATTTGATTCATAGCAGATATTCTGTTGCTCTTGTTTTTAAATGGGCTCATTACACATGTATTAGTTGTCATTGGTGAAGGAACTGTTATACTTTTTTGAATGTTATTGTGATGAAAAGGCAGTCCTGTTCTCAGAAAATATTTATGAATTAATTTGCTATAGAATTATCTTTCTAATTATTGTAATTGGGTTACCATTTAAGCTTTTCTTTTAAAATGTTATATATTTTAAGAATATTATTACTCTATAAAGGAAAAATTGCTTACTATATTTACACCTGTTCTTAAAAAGCTTTCATCCTTAAATTGTTGTATTCCTACACTCTGAAGACATTTTAAAAAAGTTTTGTGCCTGCAGTAGAGCCTGCAGAAGCTAATACAAGGAACACTGGTCTTTTGACAAACTACTTGTGTAAATTTTGATACTGTATTAAAACTATTTTTTTAAAGTTCTAAAGTTAAAATTGAGTATCAAGTATATGTGTTCATCTTAGCAATGGAAATAAATTATTTAATCCCAGTGTTTTTTCCTTCAAAATGTTTTCCCTAAATTGAGATTTCTCATAGTTGCTAAGTATCATATTGCTCCTGTATGATGACAGTAATAATAATATAAAACAAAGGCATGTTTAAATATGCTCTTAATGAGGGATTTAATATTTAGAGATTCCTTAATTCACTATTTTTTAGTATAATGTAGTTAAAAAGTTTAGAATGATATTTAAGAATATTTAAAAATTAGGTATCTTTTAGTTTTAATTCATATAGATTAATATTAAACCTCAATTATTATTAAAATATTAGTAGTCAGAAGGATATAAACTAGAAGGGAAGTATTAAAGAAATAGACAACTTGGTGTCTCTAAGAGACTTCTGCATTTTTGAGGAAAGAATGACAAGATGCAAGTCAGAGGACAGACATACTTCTTGGAAATCACTGTGGAATAAGGCTTCTTACACTTAGCATTAGCCCCTACTTTAAATGGCATAGTAGATGGACAGCTCAGGGTCTGAATCTTGCTACTGCCCAACATTTTTATCAGTAAAACTGAGTGATACCCTTCTTTTATGTGACCAGATTACTTATCTCATTTTCCCTGGAAAAAAAGGTTAATTTACATATCTTGGTAGGTTACCTTTACCAGCCTTGAAGCTGTCAGTCTATCAGAATCTAAGCTTTTTAAATTCATGATTTATAAGTTTCTAGCATTTGCTAAATGCATGAAAGAATATTTAGATCATATGAGGCATCCAGCAAAATACTGATAATCTTATTCTTTAATTCAATGAACTTTTCAAGAATGTCTACCACTATCACATGAGTTAACATATTTTGGTTCCTTACTCAGATGTGACTGTTCAGGAAATACATGGAACCATAGTATCTTGGGTACCAGGAAGAGCTTCCTTTATCCTTGAGACCTAGACAAGTTTCCCTCAAATACCCATTTTGTGATCTTGAGGAAGTGCTACGTTTCCTCGTGACTTCTCATTTCCAGAGTTTTCACTCTATGGCAAGCTTTCTGTTGACTCATCCTCCTTCACCTCAAAGACAAACTGATTCTCTTAGAAATCCTATCCACCCATTCTCGGAAAGGATCTGCCTACTTCAAGCTGGCTTATCAAGGTAAATTCTCAACAAGCTCAAGATATACTTCTATGAGGAATTCATATATTTACTTCTCAAAAAATTTTCCATCTCATTATACAATTAAAGGACAATATATCAGACTGAACCATATGAGATTACCAATATTTGACCATCTTTGGATTATAAAAACAGCAATTTTATATGGTACGACTTTGTATGATTAGTAGATTTTTTGTGGGATTAAGTGCAGTACAAGTTAGTGTCAGCATGTTGAGCTGGAGCAGTATGCTTTACTAAGTGCAGTATTAAATAAAAGGCCTTTGGCTTAGTAAGGCTGACTTTGGGGCAGCAAGTTCAGCATGTGACTATTATTAGCTTTGTGCATTTGAATAAATAACTTAACCTCATTGAGCCTCGCTCTCCTGATAGGCCAAATGGAGATAACATCTGAGTTACTCTAAGCTTTTTAGTAGTCTTCCTAGTTCCAAAGTTCAATGATCTTGACAGTTCACAAGAAACAGTGGTGAGTCCTTTAAGATACTGGAGCCTAGACCTGTGAGCAATTTATACCATTAGGCTGGGGGAAGGGCCCGCATCAGCACTGAAGGGACAATCTACCACATAGAGATTCTAGCTGCACGTACGTACTTTCAGGCTCTGTCCTTTACATCTCATTCAGCCTACTACAGGCCCTGCGTGACCAATCACAGACTGATTTTGGAAATGCGGAAAAAGGGTGTTTGTCTGATTCTCACATAGGAAGAGTATGTTTGAAAAACAATTTACACAACCATTTAATTCTTTATTTTTCATGCCACCACAGAAATGTTTGAGAATACTTTCACTTCAAAATGGCAGAATGAGTACATACTACAGCTTCTCCCTCTTGCCTTGATCCCTAAAAATGGTGGAAAAGATACTTAATAAACTCATAATTCCAGTAGAACATGAAAAAATAGTGTACTCTGTAGACCCTCAATTATGATGAATTCTTGAAAGAAGGGAAACAAAACATTATCTCATTGAAGAATGGATCCAAAATTCAAAATACATGATGGAGGGTATTGTTTAAGAAGGAGTCATGGCCCCAAGAATGTTAAACAAGGAAGAGTTTGATACACCCATGGCATGGGATCCTGGGATAAATGGCAGTAGTCAGGTTTTTTGACTCCTGCATATAGCCTCTCCCTCCCTAGCTCAGGAAGAGAACAAAAGAGATAATTACTCCCAGGCCAGAATAGAGGAGAAACATGACTGAATCAGATACAGTGCAAAGTTTTCAGATTGGTAACAACCAGTAGAAAAGGGACCCTCTGTGTTCAGATCCTTAGCTAATGATACATCTTGCCTAAAAGTTTGTCCCACTACTCCTTTGCACTTAAAGAGGCTAAAGTATCTCCCACACCCAGCATCCTTACCTCTTCTTCAGGCAAGTAGTAGAATAAACATAGCAGGTTAATATGGAAATTTCAATACTAAGATGAGTATACAACCAAGCACCACCCAACATTTCTCTCACTTTCTTACATTTCCTTCTTCCTTCTCTTTCCTAGTTGTTTAGTTGCCCTATTTTATGAGTTTAAGTGTTAAAGGTACCACAAAACCATTTGGAAGCAAGGAGCAATCATAAGTGAAGCATAGTCTCATTTCACTGAAATTTCAGAACATCTCTGTAAAACACAAGAGCCTCTCATTTTGTGGAAATGTTTCTCAGTTTTGACGCCCAAGTTATAATTCCATTTGATCCTATTACCAAGAAGGCTTTCATTTTCTATTCTAGGACCTTTAGTTTTCTAGATCCTGTTCTAAAGTGACAGCATACAATATATACCACTGTAATTGCCATGGCAACAGGATTCATATGCTAATCAGGAATGCAGTTTTAAAGAAGCACAAAGGGTCTGAAATTGGCCTTTGATTCTATGGGACATTTTTGTGTATGGGTCAACCTGCATGGGCTTAATATAGCATTATACAAAATCTGTTTTCCCTTTTCAAAAATCTGGGTTAGGTAAGAATAATTTTCTGACAATCCAGATAACAGTCTCTAGGGAGGGCTTTGTTCTGTCTTTTTTAACCATCATCATTCACCAGGTTCAGTCTAGCCCTACCACTCAACAGTGACCATACTGACTGGCTATCCAAGATTCATTTTTCTCTTTTTCCTAAGACAGTTCTCCTTTGCTTTAGAAAGA